TGTTTCTTACATTTTTTATTTTGATTTTCAGACTTGTACTTAGCGTTGTTGATTGGTACTGGGGGATGCTTAAGTCCCTGGGCTTTAAGCACTATTCTGGCTGTAGATGGGTGCCTAGTTTGCAGGGCGGTCAAGACTAGGACCAAAATATCTAGAGAAGTGAGGCTTTGTTGCATGCTGATGGAAGCTGTCTTGAATCCTCCCTCAAAACCCAGACATTTGGTATGTGAACCTCATGAGCTCTTCTCCACCGTGGAATACACTTCTGGATATTGCTGTTTCCCCACATTGGAGGGACTCAGAAAGAAAGCCTCATTCTTCTTCCTTGGTATCATGCAAGAGACAGAAGAAATCTGATGACCCCCTTGCTACTAAATCTAAGACTTTCCTCATTTAGGAGATCTTGGCCTACTGTGGGACCTTTTTGGAGTAAGTAGAGTTAGAGCACCAGCTCCAGTGGGCACTCCCCAGTACAGCATGCTTCCTTGGCTGCTCAGAGTCACCAGAAATGCTGCCCACGTCCGTATCATTTAGACTGACTGCTTTGCGGGCACCATCTGCAATGTTGTTGTCACTTCAGCAAGTGGCTGTGCATACAGTGCTCTAAGTAGCATGTGCAGTGGCTAAAGATTTGCTTTGCCTTTCAGTACCAGATTCCTTGATTATACAGGAAGTAGAGCTATCCGTAGCGTTTACTTCTTTGCAAGCTCTGGCACCATCTCCATCCTCTGTGTCGATTCATTCAACTTTGGCTTTGAGGAAGGACTCCATGCACCTGTAACACTAAATGTTCAGTACCCTCCCAGGTCAGTCTCTGATCCTTCCCCTCGTACTCACCATGTCTGAATGCAGATCTCAATGGCTGGTCTTTCCTACACTGCCTGGTACTGCACTTTCATGGCCCTCTGACTATTTCTGCCCTTCTTTGGATTCTGAGGTAGAATCTTGCACATCCCAGTCCTATTAAGAGGTCATGTAATTCACCATCCTCCTCATGGAGATCTAGGTCTTGGTACCAAGATCTGCAAGCAGATCCAGAGACGAGGGGCCCTAGGATACTTTTAACTAAGGCCCAGTACCTTATCAGTGGCTGTTTTGCAACTCATAGGGCATACCATTAGCTTCCTGTGCGTTCACGGTACCTCGCTCAGCTAGTCACCTCCAAGGAAAGATACCTGGTGCAGATCCCATTACTGATAGTTCCAGAGAGATTTTACAGCCAGATCCAGACCCAGTTGCTTCAGTCTCATTGCAGCCACCAGTTCAGGACATTGTTATGCAGCCACTCTTGAATATGTGTTCTCCTCTCCTGATGAGGCAACTGTCAGAATCCTCATCCCCAATTCAGGTTGATAAGACGTACCAAGAATTATTATAGTGGTATGTTCTCTTGGTGTACAAATTGAGATGGTCCAGGAGAGTCCATTTCAATTGGTGGATATCTTGTATATCTCAGGACCTGTTAGAGTAGCTCTACCAATTAAAGAAGCCATCTTGGAGCTTACAAAAATGTTGTGGAAGAGATTATGATTGCCACCCACTGCTAAGAGAACAGAGAAGAGTAGATACCAAGTGCCATCCCAGGGTCATGAACATTTCTGTTTGTACCCTACTGCAAGCTCGATGGTGGTGACTGCATTCCATCCCTAAAGATTAAAGAAAACTAGATCTTTTTGGAAGAAACACTTACTCAATGTCAGGGGTACAGTCTAGGTAGGCTACAAATCACCAGGTTGTCTTGGCTATATATCGTTTCACAATCTGGGATAATATGACTAATTTTGTAGACCAACTGCCAGATGTTAAACAGGAATACCTAACCATGTTTAACAAGTTGCGACCTTGGATGATGCTGGCTCTGCAGCTAGAGTGATGATACCTGTGGTTATGATGCAATGCTCCTCATGGATATTATCTTCTGGTGTGCCAGCAGAGGTCCAGTTGACAACTGAGTATCCCTTTTGAGGGCCATAGTTTTGTTTTTTAGGGAAAATAGAAATCACTGAGGAACTAGGATACATCTTGGAGTTTCTCTCTTCCCCCCCCCCCCACCTCCTCCCTTTCCTCCCAGCCCTTTTCAGGGACTAATTTCACAAAACTGTTCTTATTTAAGAAGTAAATTTATCTTACAGTTGGGGTCTATAGAAGAGATATGACCTCAATATCAGGGAAGGGAATTCTATTCCCAGTATTTTTTCAGCCCAAAATGCAAGGGAGGCTTCAGACATTCAAAGCCTAAACAAATACATAAATAAAGAGAAATTTTCACATGGTCACTTTAGTTTCCATTATCCCATCTCTAGATTCCAATGACTGGTATGCAGCCCTTGACCTATAGGAGGCTTACTTCCATGTCGTCATTCACCAGAGGCACAGGAACTTTCTAAGGTTCTTTGTAGCCAACATTCATTATCAGTTCAAAGTCCTCCTTTTTGGTCTGTCTTCAGCCCCCCTTGAGTCTTTACTGCAGGGCAGTGGTGGCAGGCCATCTCAGAAAGGCAGGTGCTAGACTTCACCTCAGGAGTATTCAGGGGTAGCTGAAGTCTTTTTATTGTCCATCTCATCAGCTGGACATACTGACTTAAAGTGCCTGGAAAGGTCTTGATATCTCAAGATTGGTGGATGGAGCCTGTGCCAATGTATGTAAAGGGATCCCTTTTTTTCCAACTCTGCTCTCAGTGGCTCTGGTCATGGATGCCTCATCCTTGTGTTGGGGACCCTGCTCCCCCCCCAATCCACTGGGATACCTCTAGACTCTGAGGCTTTGGTCAGATCAAGAACTTTCTCCACATGAATGCTCAATAACTCTGAGCAATTCACCTGGTGTTGTGGGCCTTCCTTCTGCACATCAGGGGATGCACAGTATGGGTCCTCATGGGTGACACTGCTGTTCTGTTCTAGTTGAACAGTCTTGGGGTTTCCAGGGGGGCTATAGATCTCTGGGATTGTTGCATCAAAATGTAATTTCACTCAAAGCTTCCCACCTATTTGGTATTCAGAATTGCTTGGCAGATCATTTTAACAGATAATTCAGCAGTAATCACAAATGGCCCCACAGGCTGGACATAGTGAGATCCATCTTTCAGACTTGGGGGATGCAACTCAACTGAACAGGAAGTGTCACCTTTGTTCCATGGTAGGTCACAGCCTGGGATGTATGTCAGACACTTTTCTATCTTAATGAAAGAAAAAACTAATATATACCTTTCCTCCCAATCATCTGATTTCAAGAGTGTTGTATAAACTCTGGCAAGGTCACACCCTTATAATGTCAGCTAATAGCATCAGCCTGGCCTCCTCAGAATTGGTTCTCAGACCTCCTGAGTCTCTCAGTCCAGGATCCTATAACTCTACCTCAGGCCTTGGACATAATTCTGCAAAACCACAGTCAGATGCTAAATTCCAAACTGTCCAGCCTGCTCTTGACCTCTTGGATCATTAATGGTTAACACATTGTGAAACTGAATGTTCTTTAGAAGTTTAGAACATTCTGTTAAAGAACAGAAAATTATCCATCACATACCACTTAGCTGATGAAAGAGAGGCATTTCTCTATTTGGTCTCAGCAGAAGGGTATGACTCCCTCAAAATCTTCTCTTCAGTTTATTCTGGTTTATTAACAATACCTAAAAGGAGAAGGGCTCTCTCTTAGTCCCCCGAGAGTTTAGTTGGTGGGTATTTCTGCTTTACATTCTCCTATAAAAGGAAGGCCATTTTTTCTGTTCCAATGACGGATTTTTATTTTATTTATTTTGGGAGAGATCCCATGCCACTACAGGAGCTGAATCTAATGGATCCATCTTTTGAGCCTATAGCATGTTCCTTGTTGCATCTCTCCGTAAAAGTAACATTGCCGGAAACAACAGCTACAAATGTTAGTTACTGACCCCACATGTAGTTTTCTATAAAGACAGTTTTTTTAATTCCTCCCCCTAAATATCTGACTAAAGTGTCAGATTTCCATCTTAATCAAGCTATCTACTTGCCAACCTTTTTTCCGAAGCCTTGCTTTCGTAGGAATGAGGAAAGGCTCCATATTTTGAATGTCCACTGGGCGCTGGCCTTTTACTTGGACAGGACTAAATGATTTAAGTTGTCTCCTCAGCTGTTCATTTCCTTTGCTAACAGAATGAAGGGTCATCCAGTCTCCTCTCAGAGAATATCTTCCTGGATTTCATCCTGCATCCTGTTGTGCTATTACCTTACTAAGGTTCCTCCACTTGAGAAAGTCTCATCATATTCCACGAGAGCATTGAGTCAGGTAACCATGAGTGATATTTGCAGGGTTGCAGCCTGGTCATCAGTACATACTTTCACTAGGCATTATGCTATCTCCGAAGCCTCGAGAGATGATGCCAGAGTAGGGACAATTTGTTGCAGTCCCTGTTCAGGTAGAATCCAAGCTTTCCACCTTGTCCACTGCCTAAAGTGGAATGGACACGTACAATCACTTGAAGCAAAAACATTTACTAACCTGTTCTGTAACTGGTTCAAGATACATTGTACATGTCCATTCCACAACCCAGCCTCCTTCCTGTCTACATTAGAGTCTGATGGGATTCTTATTAGAAGCAACTATGGGAGAGTTGGCTCCGACCCGTTATACCTTTGGCTGACCACATTAGCACATAGAGGGCACATGTGCTGCTCTGATGAGTACTGCTATGGGAAAATATGGTGCAGTGGGAGTGCACACATCTGAAGTGGAATGGACATGTTCAACACATCTCAAAAAACAACAATTATGGAACAGGTAACTGTTTTTACTACATTAATATCTTGTAGAACTCTTTTCATTTTAGCTGTATTGGCTACATTATCTGTCACAACTTAGTCATGTGAATTTTACAGTTAAAGTATATGAAAGAGTATGTCATTACAAATTGTAGCCAAATCTACAAGAATGTGGATGACCAAAACAAGTCTTCCCTTAGCAATTATTGTAGCACTCACAATATTCAGTGTCCATACTGCCCAAACATACGCATATGCTCAACAGGTAGTTTTTGAAAACATTTAATATTCTCTCCTTAAAACATGTCAACCAGAAGATGTCCAGCTACTGCAAGCTCTGATGGAAGATTGTAGTCTGTTCAAAGCATTTCATCTTGCTTGAATGCAGGTTCAATATATCAGAAGGCAGTGTCTAGACTATTTGCTTATGAATTTTGTGTGCTCTCACAATAGAGGACATTAACAAGGTGAAGGAGCTAGTCTTTTTAATGTAGATGAGCTCTTCAGGTGTGAAACCTCTTCAGGAAAAGCTCCATGTCAAACTTAAAATCCTGTTAACAATTAGGAAATTAATTAAAAAGTACAAGACAACCTCTTTTTACATTCTTCTCATAGCCTTAAATTGCTAAAGACCTATCAATACATAATCAGATATAAATTTAAAAAACTTTGATTTAAATCCAGTTTTATTAGTTACTTTTATTTATGCTGTTCAGAGATTGCATTTTTTAAAAATGCTTTTAGTTACCATTTGGCCTTTGGGAGTACTGTCATCATTTTAATAAATGATGATAAAACAAATATAGCACCCCAGATGCATGAGTCTTATTTTTTTAGTAAATACTCTTTATTTTACATTCAGACAAGAAAATATGAAGTACAAAAGTTTGGAAATTATTTTCCATGTAGCTCTTAGTAGGCTACAGCCAGAGTAATTCTAGTTGTTGCTTCTTGGGAGCTGGGGTGTGAGGTCTCCAGCTGGGTGGGAGGTGGAGGGAAGACAGTAGATGTGAAGGGATGTATGTAAAGGGATCCTTGCATAATTTTTTCCTCCCAAGAGTGCCTTACTTGAGGTTTTACCATTGGAGAGGATGATCCCTTTTTGTTCTTAACCCACTTGATACCATGTCTACACTGAAACCCTACAGTGGCGTAGCTGCAGCTGTGGCACTGGAGTATTATCATGTAGATGCTTCCTACATTTAGAGAAGGGGTTTTTCTGTTGATGTAGTTAATCCACCTCTCCAAGAGGTAATACCTTGGGTGATGGGAGATTTTTTTTCATTGACGTAGTCATCTTTATACAGGGTGTTAGGTCAACCCGACTACAATTCTTGGTGTGCAAAATTTTTCACAGCCCAAGCAAAGTGGCTAGCTTGATTTAATTTTTAAGTGTACACTAGCACTGAGACTTGTAAGGTCAGTAATGTCAGCACAGCGTGGAAACGTATAACTTTTCCGTCACACTATTTAGCCACAAGTGATAAGATAGTACTACTCTGTTTTGAGTCTTTATTTCTACATTTGGGTGCTTTTTGCTTTCCTGCCCCCTTCAGTTCTCTATTTCATTACTATTCTTAAATATGAAGAATTAAGTTTTTCATATATAACTATTTGTTTAAAGCCTTCACTTTCATTGTAAGTTTTTTCTTTTAGTAATGTCTGAAGATGCTCTAACTTTCATCTTAAATTTGAATGAATTGAATCTTTTGAAAGGGAGGAAATAGCAGCATTGCCTTGAGCCAAGGACAGTGTTGGCTGGTGCTGTGCAAAATTCATTATGTAGCTTTTGCCAGTGAACTTCATTCCTGACCTGAAACATTCCTGCTGTCTCAGCCATGGCTTCTTGAGTGGTGATTGTTGAGTTTGACTAATTATTATTTAAGAAAAATAACTTATTAAATCAAATTCTTGTCTTGATTAGTTTAACAAAATGATAGACATTCTTTGTATTGTAAAGAGTATTAAACTGCTTTCTTTACTGGTAAATTATTACTTTTATTTTAGGTCATTTTTACTGGATTGTACATAGGTTATCAGTTAGATAAGGATTACTTAAGGTTACAAGGGGCATGTTACATTCCAGTGTGTAGTTAATTGGTAGGCACTGCAGGAGGCTTATATTAAGGTTTTGTCAAGAATGCAGTAGAACACAACAGCACTAAATAAACTGTTGTACAGAGCTGTCTGAATCTATATCTTAAGTAGAAGAGCAGTTAGATTAATTAGGAAAATTTGACATTTAGGAATGAATGAATTAAATCTGACACATGAAAGAGAGTTGAATTTGAGTTGGTTTGAAATATAAATTGCTGTATCAGCATACTGTACCGGGTTGTGGTGATAAACCCTATCTAGTAAAGTTTTTAGTTTTTGTTTTAAGGTGTAGTCAGTGTAATTGGAAATTGCTCAGAGCCAAATTGTAGTAGTAAAAAAGAAGTATCTAATTTTTTTGATGTGGCCATGGGTATGGTCTGTCACACTGAAATCTGTCCCTCAGCATGTAATCTAAGGGGTATTTAATTAACACTCATTTTGCATTGTTTTTTCCCAAACTGTATTCCAAAAGATGTATTGACAATGTATTCTAGCAGTGTATTTCCCTTTCTGGCAGCATATATTCAGGTCCCTATTCTGACAGGAACTTCCCATCAGTAACTTTTCCATAATGTGTACTTCAGTATTTCTTAGGTTCTTAAGTCTGCCAGGTACCTAGGGTGAAATCATCGGGGCCAAATTCATCCCTGCGTGTGAGGCTTAATGACTCTATGAAACCTATGCCAACAGAGCCCCCTAGTGTAGATGCAGTCTACACTGACAGAAGGTATTTTTACCTCCCCAAATGATGTTAGCTATTTTGACAGAAGCACTCTTCCGTTGAAAGAGCTGCATCTACACTGGGAGTTTTGTCGACTTAGTTATATCGTTCAAAAAGTGGGGTGGTGGTTTTTTTTTTTTTAACATACCGATATAACTTTAGATGTAGACTAAGCCTCACTGGAGATCAGTGCTTAGATCAGGGTGGAGACTTTTGCACTTCTGTTATCCTGTGGTTTGCTGGACGGCTAGCTTAGCCTCAAACACAGATTAGAGCAGCCCTGATGGCTTCCCTAGCTTGTGTTTCAGCTGCAGCAGTATTTGTGGGACATTCTGGCAGCTGCAAGGCTGATAACTGGGCCTTAGGAATGCCCTGGCAATGCTCTTGGCACACTGAGATGTCCTTCAGAGGGAGGTGCAGATCTAACTACACCAAATGTATGCTTATTAGGGGTTCTGTCTATGTGTGGGGGAATGGGTATAGGAACTGTTACAGTGGTAAAGGGCCACAATACACTAATGAATTCAGCTGATACAGAAGAGAGGCTTTTTCCTGGGGCCTTGTCATGATATAAAACTCCTCTTCTTCATGCTCATTAAAACATGGGTTAAAACAACTGAAGCATTAGCTGGCTGTGTTGTGGCTTGGAGCCTATGCTGCCACATGGGCAACTCATGTAGCATCACACATTAGTCTGTCTCTTATTGAGTATTCAGAAGACTTTTCATTTGAGTTAGTTTAACAATTGAGAAGACACTTCATCTGTCAAGACAGAGCCTGGCTGAGCTCTTTTATGTATAGGGCTCTATCAAATTCACGGCCATGAAAAACACGTCATGGACCATGAAATGTGATCTCCCCTGGTGAAATCTGGTCTTGTGTGCTTTTACCCTGTACTATACAGATTTCACAGGAGAGGCCAGTGTTTCTCAAGTTGAGGGTCCTGACCCAAAAGGGAGTTCAGGGGTGTATCGCAAGGTTATTTTAGGAGGGGTCGCAGTATTGCCACCCTTATTTCTACACTGCCTTCAAAGCTGTCTGGCCGGAGAGCAGCAGCTGCTGACTGAGGGCCCAGATCTGCAGGCAGCAGTGCAGAAGTAAGGGTGGCAATTCTGTACCATGCCCATCCTTACTTCTGTGCTGCTGCTGGCGGCGGCTCTGCCTTCAGAGTTGGGCAGCCGACGCTCTCCAGCTGCCCAGCTTGGAAGGCAGTGCTGCCACCAGCAGCAGTGCAGAAGTAAGGGTAGCAGCACCGCAACTCCCCCACTACAATAACCTTGCAATCCCTCCCATCTCCTTTTTGGGTCAAGACCCCTACAATTATAACACTGTGGAATTTCAGATTTAAATATCTGAAACCATGAAATTTACTATTTTTAAAATCCTAGGACTGTGAAATTGACTTGATGTTGATCTCAGCAAAGATATACTTGTGAATTACTATAGCTATGTAACTTTAATAAATTCTATGAACACTTTAATTCTATGTAAATTCTATGAACTTTAATAAATTCTATGTAATTCCCACACCTCCTGGTTGTGGTGGTCTGTCACATCAAGTGGCACCAAGACCATTTAGAGAGATTGAGTCTCCTCTACAGCCTTAGCTAAGGACCATGTGGCTTTTAGCTCATATTTTTTAGGTAAAGAAAGCCCTATGTCTTCTCTTATATTCCATAAATCTACATGGTCATGTTGAGATCACAAACAGTAGTTTTCTGATATTTCGATTTTTTTTGTGCTCTAGCAATTCAAAAATATTTTTATGAATACTGCCAGATATAAATCAGATATTCTTATTAGCAAGCTTTCACTTTTGTTTTAAGAAGTTGCATTGTTATTCTCTGTGCATGCTTATGTATGTGTGTTTTAAATCAATTACCTCATTTTAATGAACTGGGGCAAGAAACTCCCAGCTCCAACAGTGAATTTTTCTGTGGTCTTGACCAAGTCACTTAACCTCTCTACCTCAGTTACTATTTCTTCTCCTTATCCTAGGCACGGGGTTGGGTTGTCTCCGTCCCCCCACTTTGTCTGTCTGAGGTGGCACTAAGGTAAGATCTACTTTGCTTACCATCTTCTTTGATGCAATGCATCCATTGCTTCCTTGGCTTTCCTTAGGATCTCTGTCTTACCACCCTTTCCAGCTATCTATCTTGACTAGGTCCCCTTCATTCATTTTCTGCATGTGTCCAAACCAGGAAAGTCACACTTTCTGGATTTTGTCAGCCCCGTCATGGCCTTTCTTCCAATCTAATACTTTCACTTCAAAATCTGTCTCTTCCCGTAACTCCTCTTACGGCATAAAGACTTCTCATCTCAAACACTGTAGGTAGTTGAAGTTGCCATCTATTTATCACCTGTGCTTCTTCACCATACAGCATTGTGAGGCATAGCATTGTTCTGTACAGTTGGGCTTTTAGTCTCAGAGGCATATGCTTGTTGTACATAACCCCTGAGATGTTGTTCCACACACTTCCAGCACTCCCCAGTCTGGCCTGTATCTCATGTTCAAGTTCGCTGCCTTGCGTGACCCAGCTGCCAAGATATTTGAACTAGTCAGTCTGTATTATGTATTGGGACCAGGATAGATTTGCACCAATCTTCATGAATTCTCTTGTCTCGTCAAATGCCTTTTTCACCCAAGACTTTCAACTGGTCCACCATCACTTCATTAGGTTCAACTGCCTTACTGTTCTTTATTTTCTGGACTGCATTTCTTACCACCTTTTC